ATTTAAAGCAATGGTCAGATGTTATATATTTTGACTTCCTATATTTGAAAGCGCAGTGGAAGCTCAAAAAATAATAATATTATTTAAAAATGCACCCCCATCCACCTCTCAAGATATTTTTTTTAAAAAAATCGACGCCCAAACTGGGACCTCTAAACATATTCTTCAATAAAAATACACGCCTAAACTGGGACTTCTAAACATATTCTTTAAAAAATCCACACCTAAACTGGGACCTCTCAACATATTCTTTAAAAATCCACGCTTAAACTGGGACCTCTTAAAATACTCTTTCAAAAATCCACGCCTTTGGTAGTCCTTGAAAAAAATGTTCTTTCAAGAATCCACGTCTAAACTGGACCTCTTAAAATACTCTTTCAAAAATCCACGCCTTTGGTAGTCCTTGAAAAAAATGTTCTTTAAAAAATCCACGTCTCTGATAGTCCTTGAAAAAATGTTCTTTAAAAATCCACGTCTCTGATAGTCCTTGAAAAAATATACTTAAAAAACCACGCCTTAACTAGGACCTCATAAAATATTTTTTTAAAAACTCTACGCCTTAACCAAGACCTCTTAAAATGTTCTTTAAAAATCCACGTCTCTGATAGTCCTTGAAAAAATATCCTTTAAAAACTCCAGGCCTTAACCACGACCTCTTAAAATATTCTTAAAAAATCCACGCCTAAACTGGGACCTCTTAAAATATTTAAAAAACCATCTAAAATCTCAACATATTGTTAACAAAAATCCACGCCTTAACTATGACCTCTTAAAATATTCTTTAAAAACTCCACGCCTTAACTAGGACCTCTTAAAATATTCTTTTAAAACACCACGCCTTAACTAGGACCTCTTAAAATATGCTTTAAAAACTTCACGCCTTAACTAGGACCTCTTAAAATATTCTTTATAAACTTCACGCCTTAACTAGGACCTCTAAAACTATTTGTAAAATATACATGACCAAAACAGGGCCCTCAAAAAATTTTCTCTAAAAAAACACGACTTAACAGAGACCTCTAAAAATATGTTTTAAAAAGTTTGGCCGGGTAAGTAATGTCGGTATGTCTTATTATATCTAGGTTATACTAGGGTGGGTTTGTAACGAAATACAAAATTAAAGACTCAGGTTGAAAAAGGACCAGAATATCGAAACTGGGCGGGACCTTTTATTGAGGCTATTCAAAAAATGTAACTTAACTATTCATAGAAAACTTCTTCAATCCATAAAATACCTCTTCTTTCCATGGAAGATCTCTTCTATCCATAGAAGACCTCTTCTAATATCCGTAGAAGACCTCTTGTATCTGTAACAATAATTCTACCAATAAAACGTATCTTATATACATAGAGGATCTCTTCCCTACCTATAAGGCTTCTTCTATCCGTATAATATCTCTGCTATCCCTAGAAGACCTCTTCCATCATCGAAAATATTTTCTATTAATAGAAGACCTCTTTTATTAATGAAATGCCTTTTATATTTATAGAAGACCTGCTCCTACTTCAGGAAGTCTTTTTTTATCGATATAATCTCTTCTTTATATTACATTTTACATTTATATATTTTGATCTGCATTTCTAACCTCTAAAAATTGCCTGTCTGTCATTCCAGATAATTCCCCACCAACAACATCATGATTAAATTTAAAATAAGGCTTCTAATAGCCTTTGTCGCCATATGCGTTGGCTGCAGCGCCGCTGTACTCTCATCAGCCCAACTGCCCGTCGAAGCACGAGGTGGCGATGGTGATAGTTTCGAAGAAGATGATGACCCCGTTATTTCGACCAGCTATGTACTGCCAAATCAAATTTTCAATGATGGAAAACCCTATTACGCTGCCAAAGATCCCATTTCCGGTCAATTAGATTTCAATGTTAAAAAGCCAGCTGGTATTGAGACTTCAGCAAATGAAGTCGTTGATCCGAATGAGAAGACAGTCATAACTTCTTCATCGCCGAATATTCATGATTTTCTTAATCTCCCGGTTAAATATTCATCATCGAAATTTGTCTATCCTCTGGTTTCAAGTTCTTATGCGAATTTGAAATATCAGGGAAGTAATAAAAATTATATCACCAATAAGAAGCCGACGCAAGTGGTGCAGGCGACGCTGGCACCAAATTATCATACGGCCAATTATTTTACATTGCCCACAACTAAATTGACACCGGTGCCACCAACACAGCCCAGCAGTTCGACAAGTAGTAGTACAACAACGACAACAACAAGTACTACAAGTACCACTAAGAAGCCCACCACAACTTCTACGTCGACTTCAACATCAACAACCTCTACTTCGACCAGTACCACAACTTCCACAACATCGACATCTACATCGACCACCACCACCACAAAAGCTCCAGTTCCAACCCAAACCACATTGGCCACATCATCTGCCAAATATACCACATCGAGTAAGCGACCAACCACAACAACTACCCCGGTACCCAAGACCACCACAACCCGTAAGAAGTTTGTGCCCACCAAGAAATATAGCCCTTCGACGACAGGATCTACAAGCACCACCGCCATGCGTTTCCCCGATCAACAGCAATTCAATGTGACAACGAAACCCACCAAACCAACAACAACTGCCGTGCTCACCACACGCCATCCCACACCATCTGCTGCCATTTTCCCCACTGAAGCCACAGAAAGCAAGGACTGGTATCCCGCTCCACCCAGCACAAGTACCACCGGCCAACCTGTTGTTTTCACCGAAGATCCTACATCACCACCCGCATTCAGTCCTCTGCCTACTAGCACCCGCATACCCGAACTCGATCCCGCTGATGTTTATCACACTTTGGATCAAAAGAATGTGGAAAATAAATTCGAACAAAAACCTAGCATGACTTTGGCCGATATTTTCAATAGCTTGGCTGAGGAAGAATCCGCCGTGGCTGCCGTAAGCAATCCTTCGCATCAGGGACTGGATGCCCAAGGCAATTTAATGGAACCCTTAGACCCTTCGAAACCATCACCATTTGCCATGCAACAAAATTCGGCACGTAGACCTCAGGCTCCACCCACAAAGCCAACCTTCAGTGCCACCAGTAACGCCCCATCCTCGCTCAATGGTCAGGTGATTTCCGGCAATCAAGAGAACTTCAACAACGAATATGTTTCGTATCAAGTTCAACAACCCAATATAATGCAATATCGTCCCGCACCAGGAGCCATAAATAATGTGGTCATTTCGCCTGGACAAAATTCTGCCTCCTTTGTTTTGGGTAGTCAACAGCAAGTGGGCGCCAATTCATTTGGCAGCGTTGAAAAGGAACCACTATTCTCCAAGGAACATCCCGTCCAATATGGTACCGTTATCAATGAGGACATTAGCACCTTGAATCGCCAGCCACCTCCCAGCCCACCAACACCTTATCAGGAAATGCCCAAACCCGTTCCCACTTCGAATTTCCATCAAAATGGTAACTATGGCACGGATGCAGTGAGACCTGATATTCCCAGACCTTCGGGTAATAATGTGTACCAAGAAGCCCCACCAGCTGCTCCCTCACCATATCAACAGTTGCCATTGATTGGTTCAAATATTCGAAATAAAAATCCCGCTCAAAAACCCCAGCCACCTCAACAGCAACAACAACAATCTCCAGTAGCCATGCAAGGAGCCGGCGTTGGATCTGTCCAATCGGTTGACCCTCAAGAGAATGCTGATCCCAATTCGATCACCTTGGGTTCAAATCAAAATACCAAAGAATTATTAGTATCCACAAATATTCGTTTCCCCGCCAATGAAGAACAATCGGCTGAGGTACCCTCGCTACCCGTTTCGAATGGACCACCAGCTGGACCCCAAGTTAATGGTCACGCCCAACCCTTGAGTCTGCAACAAATACAAAATAGCAATACTGTTGTTTTCCCCAAATCCGAAGAGACCGTTAGTGGTACGGTGGTAAGTGCTGATCCCGCAGCTGTACAAATTCAAAAACATGAAGTTCTAACTATGAGTCAACATCAACAGAAATTGGTAAGATCTTTTAAAATTTTCAGGAGGTTTAAAGGAGGGTGTACGGTGTACATGGATATTTTTAAAGAAGTAAAATAGTCGGATAGTTCGTTCAGGTCGAACTTTTTAAACCCTGAACAATGAAGTGCATATTTTAAATACCAAAAATTCTTAGAGGCCGTTAGGGATCTTCATTGTAAATTCTCTATTAGAAGGATTTTGATCCTTAGAAAAAACGAAGTACCAGATTCAAAAGACTTACGTTGGAAAATTCCGCTAGGTCCTTCATACAACATTTGTTATTTAATTCGCCAAGAACCCGAAATGCCAAATTACAGCCACTCTCTCCTTGCAGAATTTTATTGTCATGGCCAGGGCAGCGGTCATATGCTGTTTCTATGCGCTCGTAAAATATGTCTTTGGTCAGCTCATCTTGGTCTTCCGTCGGAGCATGATGACCGCTTTTATACGGATTATAGGAATCCGCTCATCTACTGATCATCTGATTTACTTACGCCTGACCCTTTCTATCACATTTCCTGTAAAGCAATAATATCGGCTTTATACGTCTTGAGTACATCGGCCAAAACTAAAACTGCGCCTGTTCTACACAACGTACGCACATTATAAGAGCAGATCGTGGTCCTTTATAAGTGTGCAGGGGTCGTAAAAATTAGGGGACGGACGCCTTAACCTTTTATGGGTAAACTCGCGGCACATATCAGCTCACTATTTCAACGGTTGATGCAAGTAGGTACCCCAAGTTACACCACAGGGAGGTCAGTGTCCGCAATTGAGATAAAATATGGACCAAAATACATGTAAAAGCCAATCAGAGCCGTTGCTTGGTATTTATCATCCCCTTCGTCGCCCCCGAAACTTAAATGCCTCAACGAAAATCCCACTATATAAAAATATCCATATACACCGATAAAAATTTGATCTTCCATATTATTTGTCAATAATAAATGTCCTTTCTCTTCACAGAATTTCCCGACATCGAATGAACCCAATACTCCCGCCACCCACATGGTACCGCCTCCACGATTCCCACCACCACTACCCAACAGCATTAACGAACATGAATTGCAAAAACCAAACCGCCCCCATGGTGCATGGCTTGAGACCAGCTGAATCGTTGAATGTGGAGAGACATGTTATGTCGCCAGTTTTGGAAAAATTGCCCGCTTTCGAAGAAGAGGATTTGGTTATCAACGATCCACCACAGCCCATTGCTCCCAGCAAAGAGTCGTCTCTGGTCAATGATGCTAAATTGGAACCTGTCGTCACCCTACAAATGCTGCAATCCCAAAAGAAGGCTGTCTCTTTGCCAAATGACGATACCGGTGCCGGTGAAATTCAGGTACCCAGTTTAGATGAAGCGGAAGAGGAAATTAACCAAGTGAACTGAATAATCGCAATGGCCTAAGGTACCTTGGCAGGTGATAAGAAATCCGGTGATTGCACCCAAAATCATTAATGGAGCCTAGATACCTTCCCATATCCGATTGAAAAACCTGATCCCTCTTACAGTGAACTGAATAAGCGGCGGTACAGTGAATCATTAATGAATGGTACACACCCACTGAACCCACACCCCACATCAAACAAATGCAACAGGAACAGCATCACTATCAAATGCAACAACAACAGCAATACCAGCAGCAGATGCAACAACAACAAAAACTTCAGGAACAGCAAATGTATTCGAATGTGAATTTGGCCACACCGGTCATTAAGGAAATTCGTCAATTCGATGATGAGGCTGCCGATAGGGGACATGATGTCGACTTGCGGGGTCAGAATTATGAAAAGAATTTCATGGCACCCTTCTATCCCAGCGTTAGTTTGGACTCAGTGACCAGTACACCATCGAATGGTTGGAATATTTTACAATCGACCACCAAGGAACCTTTGTACAGCAAAAATAACATCGATCGTTCGGATGTGAACTCAGGTGATTCCAATAACAATAAGGAAGAAGGACAGGAGGATGAGGCCGCTGAGAGCACTACTTTGAAATCTTTTGAAATGGATAAATTCCAACCGGAGTTACAGGGAGGTTTCAAGCCCATCTATCCACCTGGTTACAAATTGGCCAATGAAGATGAGGAGCAGGAACAATTGCAGAAACATGAAAGCAATAATATGCCCTTGGCATTGGCCAGTCGCATGGAATTGCCACTGCATTTACAGCAAGCCGTTCCGTCGTCCTCCTCCTCTTCGACCTCTTCGACCTCATCAACCACCTCCACCACAACTGTTAAACCTTTGTTAGATGAAAATAAAGAAGTCGACAGTAGTAGTACCAGTACCACCAAGGCCCCCGAAACCACCACCAAACGTATTAAATCGAAATTCGAAACCAGTTTGGCAGCATTGCTGTTCGGTGACGATGACACCGATGACGAAGTGAATGCCCAAGCCGAGGTGCCACGAGAAGAACCGCAGGCCCGCAAAGAACCAACCAAAGCCATGATGAGTGGACCAAGAAGTATACCACGCATGGGGCCACGTAGTTTGAAAATTTAAATTACTAATAAGAAAAAACCCACGGAATAAAAAAACTGAAATTAATTAAAGAATTTTCTAGGCATTATTCACAAATTCTAATCTTATTATTATTTTGTAGCTATAATTTATTATTATTTATTAAATAGGTATTTAAAAAAAGAACAATATATTTATAATATTTAATATTTAAATACCTTGCTTTAGGAAAAGAAAAAAACAAACATACAACAAAAAACACAAAATATTTCAATACCGTAAACTTCTCAACATATACGTACATTTCTATCCGTTACATACAGATATTCATATTATACACTCTCATAGTAAGGACCATGTTTTTACCTTCACCCACCACCAATTGCCCAAAGTTACAACTCTTGCAAGTCTAATTTGAAATTTGTTATATCAAATGATCACCTCGGTTTCTTATTAGACTTGCGATTTGTTGAACTTAATTTAATCTCAGAGATAACTATCACTATCTTCTCGATTTCTATGTCTATCATATTCATTTTAATAATCAAATTGATTCATATAAAATATTATTTGTTATTTATAGCAGCAAAATATAAATAATTTGTATAATTATGTTTAATAAAATAAAGGAAACATTTTTTAAATAATATATAGTTTTCAGAAAAAATAATTATTTTTAAAACATTTTTTCTAATATTACTTTATAAAATGTATTTATTATTTTGCGAATCAATAATCCATTACGAGTATATTTTTAAATAAAATTGAATAAAATTAAAAACAGTGCTTTTTTATTTAATGTTCACATTCTTCACAAGGTTGATATATTAGTCGATATTATTCCTGCTAATTTGGATACTGGTGAAATTCAAGTACCCAGTTTAGATGAGGCGGAAAAGGAAATAATCAGGCTGCGGAATCTAATAATCGTAATGGTCTTTATGTGGTCTACCCCTTGACAGGTGATAACGTTTCGGATGATTTGAAAAATAAATTACCCGCCGTGGCACATGTTGAACCGCCAACGGGTAGTGAATTTCAAAATGCAACCTTCTCCGTATCCGCAATGAACCACAGGAATAAAAAACCTGTTTCTTTGGAAAATTTCGCGAATTAATAATCCATTACCATTATATTTTTATACCCTGTACCACAGTGTGGTATTATATTATTGGTATTATATCTTTGTTCATAAGTTTGTAATATTGGAATATGCATAAAATCGCTTTCTAAGTCGATTTATGCATGTCCTTCCGTCCGTCTGTCTGCCCATGTTAAATTGTAAGCAAACTACAGGTTGCATTTATATGAAATTTTACATAGGTCACTTATTTGGTCCGAGGACGAATCCTATTGAAATTGGGAAAAATCGGTTCAGATTGAGATATAGCTCCCATATATATTTTTGTACGATTTAATGTAAATGGTGCAACAAAGTCCCTATATATATTTCGATTTTCGCGAAATTTGGCATGGCGTACTAAATTAGGATGATGTGTGTTAAGTTTCGTGAAAATCGGTTCAGATTTAGATATAGCCCCCACATATATTTTCTTCCGATTTAATGTAAATGGTGTACCAAAGTCCCTATATATCATTCGATTTGGACGAAATTTGGCATAGCGTACTGAGTAAAGTCTAGAATGATGTGAGTTAAGTTTTCTGAAAATCGGTTCAGATTTAGATATAGCTCGCATATATAATTTCGTCCGATTTAATGTAAATGGTGTACCAAAGTCCATATATATTTTTCGATTTGATGATAGATGATAGATGCCAAGCAACGGCTCTGATTGGCTTTAACATGGTGAAGCCCAGGCTTATCTTGGTGCCTCTTTCATCTCTATTGTGGACACTGACCTTGACGCGGTGTCACCTAGGTTAGCTACTTTCAATAAATAATCCGTATAAAAGTGAAGTTATTTTACATCAGTCTTATTTGCGCCCATGCTCTAACCGAAGACAAAGATGAACAGACCAAAGACATTTTTTACGAGCGCCTTGAAACTGCATATGACCGCTGGTCTAGCCATGACAATTCTGCTAGGAGATATTAATGCAAAAATCGTAAGAAAAAATATTTTTGGACCTACCGTCAGAAAAACCGCCGACAACGAGATGCTTGAATATGGTGCTGCTAACTACCATCAGCACCATATTCAAGCATCTCGATTTACACAAGGACACCTCGATTTCTCCCGATCAAACAACGAGAAATCAAATTGATCATGTTTTGATAGACGAAAGGTATTCATCCAGTGTTTTAGACGTTCGATCGATACTTGGAGCGAATATCGATTCGGACCATTACCTTGTGGTAGTCAAGGTTCGCACTCGTCTTAATGTAGCAGCAAAGGTGCACAACACGAAAATTCGACGTCGAAATGCTGCAAACACAACAGATAGCAGAAGCCCACTCCTCTCAAATTACCCAACTGCTTTGCGAAAGCACTCCTTGTACCGATAATAATATAGAAGCATAATGGTAAAGAATTGCCCACTCCCTACAAAGTGCAGCAAAAGCAATACCAAAAACCACCATCAAGAAGCCCATGGTACAATCAGGAGTGTCGTAATGCTACTGATCTGAAAAATGCAGAATGCGTAGAGGGCGATGGAGAAGTATCAGAAGAAAAAGAGAGGAGAAACGTATTAAAAAAAAACAAGAAAGAACAAGAAAAACATGAGCGGGAACAAATCGAGATGCACAGGAGTCAGAATGAAGTCCCGAAATTTTACCAACGATTAAAACACCAAACCGAAGGCTTTGGTTCAGGCACATCCTCCTGTAGAGAGAGAGAGATGAAGATGGAAACCTGGTAACAGATACGGAAAGCGTGTTGAGGATCTGGAAGGAGCATTTTGAAAAGCTTCTGGTATCAAATAGTGGCAATGAAGAAGATACCCCAGAACCAATAAGAGATGACTATAAAGTGTATACCACCTAGCCAAGATGAGGTCAAAATGACAATAAATCGGCTGAAGACCTGCCAAATCCACCATTGATCAGATTTTCACTCTGCGCCAAATCCTAGAAAAGACCCACGTAAACCACATCGACACATTCCACCTATTCGTCGACTATAAATCCGCATTCGACAGCCATATCCGTTCAGATGTGTTTAAAGTCATGCCTGCGTTTGGGATTCCTGTGAAGTTTTCAAAACATTTCAACTCGAAGAGAAGATTAATTGAATTTACATTTCTACTACAACATGCAGGAGGGTATGATGTAATTTTAATAATTGTATTTTTGTGGGTCGATATGAGGAAGAAGAAGTAGAAAAAATATTTAAAGCAATGGTCAGATGTTATATATTTTGACTTCCTATATTTGAAAGCGCAGTGGAAGCTCAAAAAATAATAATATTATTTAAAAATCCACCCCCATCCACCTCTCAAGATATTTTTTTTAAAAAAATCGACGCCCAAACTGGGACCTCTAAACATATTCTTTAATAAAAATACACGCCTAAACTGGGACTTCTAAACATATTCTTTAAAAAATCCACACCTAAACTGGGACCTCTCAACATATTCTTTAAAAATCCACGCTTAAACTGGGACCTCTTAAAATACTCTTTCAAAAATCCACGCCTTTGGTAGTCCTTGAAAAAAATGTTCTTTCAAGAATCCACGTCTAAACTGGACCTCTTAAAATACTCTTTCAAAAATCCACGCCTTTGGTAGTCCTTGAAAAAAATGTTCTTTAAAAAATCCACGTCTCTGATAGTCCTTGAAAAAATGTTCTTTAAAAATCCACGTCTCTGATAGTCCTTGAAAAAATATACTTAAAAAACCACGCCTTAACTAGGACCTCATAAAATATTTTTTTTTAAAACTCTACGCCTTAACCAAGACCTCTTAAAATGTTCTTTAAAAATCCACGTCTCTGATAGTCCTTGAAAAAATATCCTTTAAAAACTCCAGGCCTTAACCACGACCTCTTAAAATATTCTTAAAAAATCCACGCCTAAACTGGGACCTCTTAAAATATTTAAAAAACCATCTAAAATCTCAACATATTGTTAACAAAAATCCACGCCTTAACTATGACCTCTTAAAATATTCTTTAAAAACTCCACGCCTTAACTAGGACCTCTTAAAATATTCTTTTAAAACACCACGCCTTAACTAGGACCTCTTAAAATATGCTTTAAAACCTTCACGCCTTAACTAGGACCTCTTAAAATATTCTTTATAAACTTCACGCCTTAACTAGGACCTCTAAAACTATTTGTAAAATATACATGACCAAAACAGGGCCCTCAAAAAATTTTCTCTAAAAAAACACGACTTAACAGAGACCTCTAAAAATATGTTTTAAAAAGTTTGGCCGGGTAAGTAATGTCGGTATGTCTTATTATATCTAACGAAATACAAAATTAAAGACTCAGGTTGAAAAAGGACCAGAATATCGAAACTGGGCGGGACCTTTTATTGAGGCTATTCAAAAAATGTAACTTAACTATTCATAGAAAACTTCTTCAATCCATAAAATACCTCTTCTTTCCATGGAAGATCTCTTCTATCCATAGAAGACCTCTTCTAATATCCGTAGAAGACCTCTTGTATCTGTAACAATAATTCTACCAATAAAACGTATCTTATATACATAGAGGATCTCTTCCATACCTATAAGACTTCTTCTATCCGTATAATATCTCTGCTATCCCTAGAAGACCTCTTCCATCATCGAAAATATTTTCTATTAATAGAAGACCTCTTTTATTAATGAAATGCCTTTTATATTTATAGAAGACCTGCTCCTACTTCAGGAAGTCTTTTTTTATCGATATAATCTCTTCTTTATATTACATTTTACATTTATATATTTTGATCTGCATTTCTAACCTCTAAAAATTGCCTGTCTGTCATTCCAGATAATTCCCCACCAACAACATCATGATTAAATTTAAAATAAGGCTTCTAATAGCCTTTGTCGCCATATGCGTTGGCTGCAGCGCCGCTGTACTCTCATCAGCCCAACTGCCCGTCGAAGCACGAGGTGGCGATGGTGATAGTTTCGAAGAAGATGATGACCCCGTTATTTCGACCAGCTATGTACTGCCAAATCAAATTTTCAATGATGGAAAACCCTATTACGCTGCCAAAGATCCCATTTCCGGTCAATTAGATTTCAATGTTAAAAAGCCAGCTGGTATTGAGACTTCAGCAAATGAAGTCGTTGATCCGAATGAGAAGACAGTCATAACTTCTTCATCGCCGAATATTCATGATTTTCTTAATCTCCCGGTTAAATATTCATCATCGAAATTTGTCTATCCTCTGGTTTCAAGTTCTTATGCGAATTTGAAATATCAGGGAAGTAATAAAAATTATATCACCAATAAGAAGCCGACGCAAGTGGTGCAGGCGACGCTGGCACCAAATTATCATACGGCCAATTATTTTACATTGCCCACAACTAAATTGACACCGGTGCCACCAACACAGCCCAGCAGTTCGACAAGTAGTAGTACAACAACGACAACAACAAGTACTACAAGTACCACTAAGAAGCCCACCACAACTTCTACGTCGACTTCAACATCAACAACCTCTACTTCGACCAGTACCACAACTTCCACAACATCGACATCTACATCGACCACCACCACCACAAAAGCTCCAGTTCCAACCCAAACCACATTGGCCACATCATCTGCCAAATATACCACATCGAGTAAGCGACCAACCACAACAACTACCCCGGTACCCAAGACCACCACAACCCGTAAGAAGTTTGTGCCCACCAAGAAATATAGCCCTTCGACGACAGGATCTACAAGCACCACCGCCATGCGTTTCCCCGATCAACAGCAATTCAATGTGACAACGAAACCCACCAAACCAACAACAACTGCCGTGCTCACCACACGCCATCCCACACCATCTGCTGCCATTTTCCCCACTGAAGCCACAGAAAGCAAGGACTGGTATCCCGCTCCACCCAGCACAAGTACCACCGGCCAACCTGTTGTTTTCACCGAAGATCCTACATCACCACCCGCATTCAGTCCTCTGCCTACTAGCACCCGCATACCCGAACTCGATCCCGCTGATGTTTATCACACTTTGGATCAAAAGAATGTGGAAAATAAATTCGAACAAAAACCTAGCATGACTTTGGCCGATATTTTCAATAGCTTGGCTGAGGAAGAATCCGCCGTGGCTGCCGTAAGCAATCCTTCGCATCAGGGACTGGATGCCCAAGGCAATTTAATGGAACCCTTAGACCCTTCGAAACCATCACCATTTGCCATGCAACAAAATTCGGCACGTAGACCTCAGGCTCCACCCACAAAGCCAACCTTCAGTGCCACCAGTAACGCCCCATCCTCGCTCAATGGTCAGGTGATTTCCGGCAATCAAGAGAACTTCAACAACGAATATGTTTCGTATCAAGTTCAACAACCCAATATAATGCAATATCGTCCCGCACCAGGAGCCATAAATAATGTGGTCATTTCGCCTGGACAAAATTCTGCCTCCTTTGTTTTGGGTAGTCAACAGCAAGTGGGCGCCAATTCATTTGGCAGCGTTGAAAAGGAACCACTATTCTCCAAGGAACATCCCGTCCAATATGGTACCGTTATCAATGAGGACATTAGCACCTTGAATCGCCAGCCACCTCCCAGCCCACCAACACCTTATCAGGAAATGCCCAAACCCGTTCCCACTTCGAATTTCCATCAAAATGGTAACTATGGCACGGATGCAGTGAGACCTGATATTCCCAGACCTTCGGGTAATAATGTGTACCAAGAAGCCCCACCAGCTGCTCCCTCACCATATCAACAGTTGCCATTGATTGGTTCAAATATTCGAAATAAAAATCCCGCTCAAAAACCCCAGCCACCTCAACAGCAACAACAACAATCTCCAGTAGCCATGCAAGGAGCCGGCGTTGGATCTGTCCAATCGGTTGACCCTCAAGAGAATGCTGATCCCAATTCGATCACCTTGGGTTCAAATCAAAATACCAAAGAATTATTAGTATCCACAAATATTCGTTTCCCCGCCAATGAAGAACAATCGGCTGAGGTACCCTCGCTACCCGTTTCGAATGGACCACCAGCTGGACCCCAAGTTAATGGTCACGCCCAACCCTTGAGTCTGCAACAAATACAAAATAGCAATACTGTTGTTTTCCCCAAATCCGAAGAGACCGTTAGTGGTACGGTGGTAAGTGCTGATCCCGCAGCTGTACAAATTCAAAAACATGAAGTTCTAACTATGAGTCAACATCAACAGAAATTGGTAAGATCTTTTAAAATTTTCAGGAGGTTTAAAGGAGGGTGTACGGTGTACATGGATATTTTTAAAGAAGTAAAATAGTCGGATAGTTCGTTCAGGTCGAACTTTTTAAACCCTGAACAATGAAGTGCATATTTTAAATACCAAAAATTCTTAGAGGCCGTTAGGGATCTTCATTGTAAATTCTCTATTAGAAGGATTTTGATCCTTAGAAAAAACGAAGTACCAGATTCAAAAGACTTACGTTGGAAAATTCCGCTAGGTCCTTCATACAACATTTGTTATTTAATTCGCCAAGAACCCGAAATGCCAAATTACAGCCACTCTCTCCTTGCAGAATTTTATTGTCATGGCCAGGGCAGCGGTCATATGCTGTTTCTATGCGCTCGTAAAATATGTCTTTGGTCAGCTCATCTTGGTCTTCCGTCGGAGCATGATGACCGCTTTTATACGGATTATAGGAATCCGCTCATCTACTGATCATCTGATTTACTTACGCCTGACCCTTTCTATCACATTTCCTGTAAAGCAATAATATCGGCTTTATACGTCTTGAGTACATCGGCCAAAACTAAAACTGCGCCTGTTCTACACAACGTACGCACATTATAAGAGCAGATCGTGGTCCTTTATAAGTGTGCAGGGGTCGTAAAAATTAGGGGACGGACGCCTTAACCTTTTATGGGTAAACTCGCGGCACATATCAGCTCACTATTTCAACGGTTGATGCAAGTAGGTACCCCAAGTTACACCACAGGGAGGTCAGTGTCCGCAATTGAGATAAAATATGGACCAAAATACATGTAAAAGCCAATCAGAGCCGTTGCTTGGTATTTATCATCCCCTTCGTCGCCCCCGAAACTTAAATGCCTCAACGAAAATCCCACTATATAAAAATATCCATATACACCGATAAAAATTTGATCTTCCATATTATTTGTCAATAATAAATGTCCTTTCTCTTCACAGAATTTCCCGACATCGAATGAACCCAATACTCCCGCCACCCACATGGTACCGCCTCCACGATTCCCACCACCACTACCCAACAGCATTAACGAACATGAATTGCAAAAACCAAACCGCCCCCATGGTGGTCCACAATATCCCTTCAATGAATATACCCGAAAACCCATACCCGGTATTACTCGCCCCAACCCCGACCGTCATTTACCAAATATTTTACCACAATTCCGACCAAGCTCGAAGGTATCCACTGGCCATCCCCAACAGACTAATTTCAATCAGGAACCCGGAAATATTTTAGTAGGTGGACCTCAACCTCCTCACCTGAAGCGGGGTCCCAATGTAGGAAATCCACAATTTTCACATCGCCGCCAGCCTTTGGGTGGTCAACCTAACCGTTATCCCTTGAATCGTAATGTGGATTATCCCTCAGTTGGACCACCACCACCCCAATTAGCTCCGCATGAAATTGCCAACAGACGTATTTATCGTGTCTCACCTTACGGCGGACAAGGTATGCAATATTTGGAACGTCCTGGTGCATACCCACCACTACGTAGACCCCATATGCCACCACATGGCTTGAGACCAGCTGAATCGTTGAATGTGGAGAGACATGTTATGTCGCCAGTTTTGGAAAAATTGCCCGCTTTCGAAGAAGAGGATTTGGTTATCAACGATCCACCACAGCCCATTGCTCCCAGCAAAGAGTCGTCTCTGGTCAATGATGCTAAATTGGAACCTGTCGTCACCCTACAAATGCTGCAATCCCAAAAGAAGGCTGTCTCTTTGCCAAATGACGATACCGGTGCCGGTGAAATTCAGGTACCCAGTTTAGATGAAGCGGAAGAGGAAATTAACCAAGCTGCCGAATCGAATAATCGCAATGGCCTGTATGTGGTCTACCCCTTGGCAGGTGATAAGAAATCCGGTGATAAAGTTTCGGATGATTTGAAAAATAAACTGCCCGCCGTGGTTCATGTAGAACCTCCCACAGGTAGTGAATACCAAAATACACCCTTCTCCGTGGTCCGTGATGAACCGCAGGAACCAATTCTGAAAAATAAGAAACCCGTTTCCCTGCAACAACAACAAAAGGCTCAAGCTGCCAAAGATACCTTCCCATATCCGATTGAAAAACCTGATCCCTCTTACAGTGAACTGAATAAGCCGGCTAAGGTACCCGGTGTACTGATTGCACCCAAAATCATTAATGGAGCCTATGGTACGGGTACTGTGGCACCCATTGCCATTGCCTACACACCCACTGAACCCACACCCCACATCAAACAAATGCAACAGGAACAGCATCACTATCAAATGCAACAACAACAGCAATACCAGCAGCAGATGCAACAACAACAAAAACTTCAGGAACAGCAAATGTATTCGAATGTGAATTTGGCCACACCGGTCATTAAGGAAATTCGTCAATTCGATGATGAGGCTGCCGATAGGGGACATGATGTCGACTTGCGGGGTCAGAATTATGAAAAGAATTTCATGGCACCCTTCTATCCCAGCGTTAGTTTGGACTCAGTGACCAGTACACCATCGAATGGTTGGAATATTTTACAATCGACCACCAAGGAACCTTTGTACAGCAAAAATAACATCGATCGTTCGGATGTGAACTCAGGTGATTCCAATAACAATAAGGAAGAAGGACAGGAGGATGAGGCCGCTGAGAGCACTACTTTGAAATCTTTTGAAATGGATAAATTCCAACCGGAGTTACAGGGAGGTTTCAAGCCCATCTATCCACCTGGTTACAAATTGGCCAATGAAGATGAGGAGCAGGAACAATTGCAGAAACATGAAAGCAATAATATGCCCTTGGCATTGGCCAGTCGCATGGAATTGCCACTGCATTTACAGCAAGCCGTTCCGTCGTCCTCCTCCTCTTCGACCTCATCAACCACCTCCACCACAACTGTTAAACCTTTGTTAGATGAAAATAAAGAAGTCGACAGTAGTAGTACCAGTACCACCAAGGCCCCCGAAACCACCACCAAACGTATTAAATCGAAATTCGAAACCAGTTTGGCAGCATTGCTGTTCGGTGACGATGACACCGATGACGAAGTGAATGCCCAAGCCGAGGTGCCACGAGAAGAACCGCAGGCCCGCAAAGAACCAACCAAAGCCATGATGAGTGGACCAAGAAGTATACCACGCATGGGGCCACGTAGTTTGAAAATTTAAATTACTAATAAGAAAAAACCCACGGAATAAAAAAACTGAAATTAATTAAAGAATTTTCTAGGCATTATTCACAAATTCTAATCTTATTATTATTTTGTAGCTATAATTTATTATTATTTATTAAATAGGTATTTAAAAAAAGAACAATATATTTATAATATTTAATATTTAAATACCTTGCTTTAGGAAAAGAAAAAAACAAACATACAACAAAAAACACAAAATATTTCAATACCGTAAACTTCTCAACATATACGTACATTTCTATCCGTTACATACAGATATTCATATTATACACTCTCATAGTAAGGACCATGTTTTTACCTTCACCCACCACCAATTGCCCAAAGTTACAACTCTTGCAAGTCTAATTTGAAATTTGTTATATCAAATGATCACCTCGGTTTCTTATTAGACTTGCGATTTGTTGAACTTAATTTAATCTCAGAGATAACTATCACTATCTTCTCGATTTCTATGTCTATCATATTCATTTTAATAATCAAATTGATTCATATAAAATATTATTTGTTATTTATAGCAGCAAAATATAAATAATTTGTATAATTATGTTTAATAAAATAAAGGAAACATTTTTTAAATAATATATAGTTTTCAGAAAAAATAATTATTTTTAAAACATTTTTTCTAATATTACTTTATAAAATGTATTTATTATTTTGCGAATCAATAATCCATTACGAGTATATTTTTAAATAAAATTGAATAAAATTAAAAACAGTGCTTTTTTATTTAATGTTCACATTCTTCACAAGGTTGATATATTAGTCGATATTATTCCTGCTAATTTGGATACTGGTGAAATTCAAGTACCCAGTTTAGATGAGGCGGAAAAGGAAATAATCAGGCTGCGGAATCTAATAATCGTAATGGTCTTTATGTGGTCTACCCCTTGACAGGTGATAACGTTTCGGATGATTTGAAAAATAAATTACCCGCCGTGGCACATGTTGAACCGCCAACGGGTAGTGAATTTCAAAATGCAACCTTCTCCGTATCCGCAATGAACCACAGGAATAAAAAACCTGTTTCTTTGGAAAATTTCGCGAATTAATAATCCATTACCATTATATTTTTATACCCTGTACCACAGTGTGGTATTATATTATTGGTATTATATCTTTGTTCATAAGTTTGTAATATTGGAATATGCATAAAATCGCTTTCTAAGTCGATTTATGCATGTCCTTCCGTCCGTCTGTCTGCCCATGTTAAATTGTAAGCAAACTACAGGTTGCATTTATATGAAATTTGACATAGGTCACTTATTTGGTCCGAGGACGAATCCTATTGAAATTGGGAAAAATCGGTTCAGATTGAGATATAGCTCCCATATATATTTTTGTACGATTTAATGTAAATGGTGCAACAAAGTCCCTATATATATTTCGATTTTCACGAAATTTGGCATGGCGTACTAAATTAGGATGATGTGTGTTAAGTTTCGTGAAAATCGGTTCAGATTTAGATATAGCTCCCACATATATTTTCTTCCGATTTAATGTAAATGGTGTACCAAAGTCCCTATATATCATTCGATTTGGACGAAATTTGGCATAGCGTACTGAGTAAAGTCTAGAATGATGTGAGTTAAGTTTTCTGAAAATCGGTTCAGATTTAGATATAGCTCCCATATATAATTTCGTCCGATTTAATGTAAATGGTGTACCAAAGTCCATATATATTTTTCGATTTGATGATAGATGATAGATGCCAAGCAACGGCTCTGATTGGCTTTAACATGGTGAAGCCCAGGCTTATCTTGGTGCCTCTTTCATCTCTATTGTGGACACTGACCTTGACGCGGTGTCACCTAGGTTAGCTACTTTCAATAAATAATCCGTATAAAAGTGAAGTTATTTTACATCAGTCTTATTTGCGCCCATGCTCTAACCGAAGACAAAGATGAACAGACCAAAGACATTTTTTACGAGCGCCTTGAAACTGCATATGACCGCTGGTCTAGCCATGACAATTCTGCTAGGAGATATTAATGCAAAAATCGTAAGAAAAAATATTTTTGGACCTACCGTCAGAAAAACCGCCGACAACGAGATGCTTGAATATGGTGCTGCTAACTACCATCAGCACCATATTCAAGCATCTCGATTTACACAAGGACACCTCGATTTCTCCCGATCAAACAACGAGAAATCAAATTGATCATGTTTTGATAGACGAAAGGTATTCATCCAGTGTTTTAGACGTTCGATCGATACTTGGAGCGAATATCGATTCGGACCATTACCTTGTGGTAGTCAAGGTTCGCACTCGTCTTAATGTAGCAGCAAAGGTGCACAACACGAAAATTCGACGTCGAAATGCTGCAAACACAACAGATAGCAGAAGCCCACTCCTCTCAAATTACCCAACTGCTTTGCGAAAGCACTCCTTGTACCGATAATAATATAGAAGCATAATGGTAAAGAATTGCCCACTCCCTACAAAGTGCAGCAAAAGCAATACCAAAAACCACCATCAAGAAGCCCATGGTACAATCAGGAGTGTCGTAATGCTACTGATCTGAAAAATGCAGAATGCGTAGAGGGCGATGGAGAAGTATCAGAAGAGAAAGAGAGGAGAAACGTATTAAAAAAAAAACAAGAAAGAACAAGAAAAACATGAGCGGGAACAAATCGAGATGCACAGGAGTCAGAATGAAGTCCCGAAATTTTACCAACGATTAAAACACCAAACCGAAGGCTTTGGTTCAGGCACATCCTCCTGTAGAGAGAGAGAGATGAAGATGGAAACCTGGTAACAGATACGGAAAGCGTGTTGAGGATCTGGAAGGAGCATTTTGAAAAGCTTCTGGTATCAAATAGTGGCAATGAAGAAGATACTCCAGAACCAATAAGAGATGACTATAAAGTGTATACCACCTAGCCAAGATGAGGTCAAAATGACAATAAATCGGCTGAAGACCTGCCAAATCCACCATTGATCAGATTTTCACTCTGCGCCAAATCCTAGAAAAGACCCACGTAAACCACATCGACACATTCCACCTATTCGTCGACTATAAATCCGCATTCGACAGCCATATCCGTTCAGATGTGTTTAAAGTCATGCCTGCGTTTGGGATTCCTGCAAAATTAATACGGCTATGAAGGATAACTTTAACTGGCACAAAGTCGGAAAGGACCTATCGGAAAAGCTCATACGAGTTGCAAATGTGAACAGAAATGGAACTCTGTACACCAAACAACACATGTTACTCGCCTAAGCCGATGACATCGATATAATGGGTCGAACATTGCGAGCGGTAACAGCCATCTTTGAACGAAATGGGAAGGAGTCTCCCAAAGTTGAACCGACAGCAAATGCCAAGAAGACCAAGCTGTAGAACTTGAAAACTACAGCTTCGAGGTAATGAATGATTTTATATACCTCGGTACCTCCGGAGGAGAATAGTGTTGGCCAACATATGCTACTATAATCTGAGTAAGCAACTTCAAAAGCAAGGCCATTTATCGCCAGACCAAACTCACATTCTACAAGACGCTGGTATTACCCGTGCATGGGTACTTGCGCGAGAAGATGAGACAGTTCTTGGAGTGTTTGAAAGGTATATTAAAGGACAAGTGATGGTTCACGCAGAAGGGAAAGGCCACGAATCCGATGGAAAGATCAAGTAGAAGACAACGTCTCGGAACATGGTCTTTCAAATTGGATGAGATACGCACAAGACTGACGCGCTTGCAAATCTTTTTTATGCTCGGCTTATGGAACAATCGTTCTGTCAAAAGCCAGCTTAATAAGTAAGTATAACACGTAAAACTAAAGGACTATATATCACCAGTCCAGTCCGGTCTGGTTTTCTATACAGACGGATCCAAGATGGAAGAAGGTACGGGGGCTGGCGTCTACTGTGAAAGGCTAAGCCTTGAGCTTACCTACGAACTGGATAGCAACTGTAGTGTTTTCCAAGCTGAAATCTTCGCGATTTAGAAGGCAGCGGAATTGATAAAAAAACCAAGATGCAGAGATCGTTGAACCGGTGACTATAGTCAAGCGGCTCTTAGAGCCATCAAATCCTGTTACATCAAATCTGAGGCCGTCCTCATGTGTAGAACAGTTTTGGAAGATCTTACTTACAGCTACCTAGTGTGTTGCGTACCAGGACACCGTGACATCATGGGTAATGACAGAGCAGACGAATTAGGTAGACGAGGATCCCAATCTACAGATCTATCAATTGATGGCTCAATCAAACCACCCATATGTTATCTTTATCGAAACATTTGAGGCGTTCTTCGACGAAAGAGCCTATGAACATTGGCACAACGAACCTAGATGCAATGTGTCAAGTTCGATTTATCTCATCCTTACCTTCTCACACTTGCTCGTAAGCTTCTCATTTTCTCTCTTCTATCCTCTCATCTACTCATGCGTACAAAAAGTACTACATGGTACTATATTTGGTACAAATTTAATTCGGAGGTACAAATCAAGCAGGAACCCTGAAATTTGAAATTAACATTACCATCGGAATTTAGGATTGGGATATGTACGTAGTTTTGGAAAATTTTTACTTAAGTGTACGAAAAGTACTAAATCGTACCATAATTGGTACAATTTGGGTGAACCCCAACAATGAAATTTGGAGTCACGATCATTGTAGGGGTCAGGATTCAGTTTAACAAATTAATACTTACGGGTACTAAATGGTACTATATTTGGTACAATTTGAATGTTAGGTGAACCAATAGAGCTAGAATCATGAATTTTGGAGTCAGGATCACTGTTGGGGTGTAAGATTGAAATATGTAGGAAGTTTTAGAATTTGTACTAATGTGTACTAAATTTGGTACAATTTAAATTGAGGGTGAACTGATAGAGTTTGAATCCTGAAACTTTGATTTAAGATCACTGTGGGAGTGTTGATTTGGGTTAAGTAGGAAGTTAGGAAGTTTTCGTACTACTGTGTACTAAATTTGGTACAATTTGAATTGTGGATATCGGTTCATCCATTGGAATCCTAAAACTTGGAATTAGGATGACTGTGGGGGTGTTGGTTTGGGTTAAGAAGGTTTTGGAAATTCATACTACTGTGTACTAAATTTGGTGAAATGTTAATTGTGGGTGAACCAATAGAGTTGGAATCCTGAAATTTGAATTTGGAATCACTGTGGGAGTGTAGGATGGTGATATGCAGGAAGTCAGATGGTTGAGGAGGGTACTTATGGAAATAGTGTGTGCTAAATGGAAAATTTGGATTTGGGTGAACCTTTAGAGCTCGAATCATAAAATTTGGTACTGAATAATGGTACTCAAATATAATTTATGGCCGATATTAATGTGTGGATTGTTTTTTCAGACATATGCAGATTTCTGTGAAAATAAAATAATATGTTAATATATGTTTAAATATTTCCTACATTCGCTAACGAAGTTGCGGACGTATGCTAGTAATTAATAAATTGTTCATGATGATAATTTTAATGCTCCTTCACGATTTTGGAAAACCCTATATCTTACTCTAATGTAAATTCTAATATTACATTTTAAAATAAAAGTGAATGTGTACCCACCTTTGGTATTCGTGTCTTTGCTTACCCAATGGTTATGGTTAGCATTGGGTAGATTCTTAAAAATATAGGTCTGGGGGGAACATATTAAAATAATTGCTTTAACGAAGTGGAAAATACAATTTGCTACCAAACAGCTACCGTTTTTATGTTTTTAAGTTCGATAAATAATATTTATATTCAAAATTATATTCTTCTCTAAATAATATTCATTTTTTGCTTTATTTCGAAGTTTGTCAATTAGCTTATTAATTTGTTATGGGACTGAAATGAATGTGCTGCTCACGATCACGATGCATTTGTGATAACAAATGTATGCGTAATTGTACAATATTGTCCAAGGGTACACTGCACAGGCGACAGGAGGTGGGTTCGATTGTACCATCACTAAAAAAAATAAATATTTAAAATATTTTAACTGTGAAATCATCAATTTGAAATACTTACAATTGCCTCAAACGATGTAGTTCCTGGCAATGCATAGTTAAGGTATGAATGTGTTCAAATTTCTCATCATATAGACGTAAATAAGAGTGAGTGGGGAAAATAGAACGATTTGGTGTCTCGGAGGTGGGGGTAATAATTTCATTAGCATCAAATGTCTCCCATTTATTGTCATTGACATCAATGTGTAATTCAATATATTTACGCTGCTTACTTAAGAGTCTATAATGAAGAAGATTTTAATTAGGAATGATTTACAAAAGAGTTCAAAGCTGTAAACCTTAAAATGAGATTTCTAATAGTTGTTGAGATTCCTTGCATTTCTTTGGGATGTTTACCAAGTTCAACTTGTTCGGGTTCTATGTAAAGTATCTTATCCATCATTGATCGTATTTGATTTATCTAAAAGCAAAAAACGAGAAGGTATTAAAAATAATTTCTTCGACATTTGATTACCACTTACCAATTCAATATCATCCGGTAGTATGTCAACATCTAAATTAAGAACAATATCATGCTCAGCATATAAGGGTTCATAGGTATTTTCATCATGACCCAAACCGGCCAATAGAGCAACATATTTCGTACGCATTTTATTACATTTAATTTGCATTGCGGGACAAAATAACATTGTCATTAGGGCGCCAAAACCATGAATATTTGGCATTCGGGTTGTACTTCTGGCTAGTAGGGAATCTCCCTTCGACGTTTCATTAATATCTGAGGCCACAATTAAACGTTCATACATATCGAACGGATCACTATCGATATTATCATAATTTACCGATTCACGATCTATTTGTACCGATTTCCATGTACCAATACGTATAGCTGAATAAATATTTATTTCAAGTGGACTAAATGGTCCACGGAGACGTATAACATTTCGACATAGCTCTCTTGGTGGTGGTTCAGTGTCCATATCAATCTCTGGACGTATGGAACGTAAATATTCTTCATTCTGACGTGAGTGGTCATTTTCGAGGAAACGATTGGCCACCGATTGTTTACGCATACGCAAATCATGATCAGACTGTAAAAAAGACATGAAAAATATATATATATATGAATGGAAAATAAAATCCATGCAGAAAGTACGAACTATTTTTAAATATATTTTTCAAATTTCGCACTCGAATTAACAAGTATTTTGCATGCACCTCGGACCTTTTAAAATGTTTTAGACTTACAGATCGGACCGAAAATAAAAAAACTTGTTTAATTTGCCCGTGCAGAACATTTTCCCAATGTACCTATATTGGGAATTTTGTGTGAATGACCCGAAATGCCAAAACACGGACATTTATGTTGTAAAGTAAACCTAGGGAATCAAAATACGTAAAAGGGAGCGGGACGTTTTTTCCCAATTAATGACAAATGTAACCATATCGGTTAAAAAAGCATTAATTTGTTTGAAAATTGGGCAGTATATTGGTGTTACAGAGCTATGTAATATTTCCGATCCGAGGAGCGAATATCGATTCGGACCATTACCTTGTGGCAGCCAAGGTTCACACCCGGCTTAATGTACCAGCAAAGGTGCGATCTAACACAACACGGAAACTCGTCGTCGAAAAGCTGAAAACACCACAGACAGCCAAAGACTACTCCGCTCAACTTACCCACCTGCTTGACGAAAGCACTCCTTGTCCCGATAATAATATAGAAGCACAATGGCAAAGAATTGCCCACTACCCACAAATTGCAGCAAAAGCAACACTTGGGTACCAAAAACCATCAAGGAACCCATGATACGATCAGGAGTGTCGTAATGTCTGTGATGTGAAAAACACAGCGTATAGGGCAATCCTGCAGACACTACATCAGAACAACGAGAGCGTGAGCAAATCGAGATGTACAGGAGTCAGAATACAGTCCGGAAATTTTACCAACGAATAAAACGCCAAACCGAAGGTAGGCACATCCTCCTGTAGAGATGAAGAAGGAAACCTGGTGACAGATACAGACAGCGTCCTGAAGATCTGGAAGGATCATTTTGAAAATATTCTGGTATCAGATAGAAGTGGTGAAAAGGATACTTCAGAACCAATGATAGATGACGGTATAGAGTGTATACCATCTAACTAATATGAGGACAGAGTAGCAATTAATCGGCTGAAGAACAATAAAGCAGCAGGTGCTGATGGATTACAAGCGGAACTATTTGAGACCGGTGGTCAGATACTGGTCAGGAGCATGCACCAGCTGATACAACAGTACAATTTGGCTAGAGGAATGCATGCCTAGTGACTTGAACCTTAGCATCCTGTGTCCCGTGTACAAACAAAAAATGAGACCATACGATCCTTCCCATCGCAAATAAAGTGTTATCCAGCGTGCTGTGTGAACGAATGAAGCCAATAGTCAATGATATTATTGGACCAATGTGGCTTCAGACCTGGCAAATCCACCATAGACCAGATTTTCACACTGCGCCAAATTCTTGAAAAAGACCCACGAAAAACACATCGACACATTTCACCTATTCGTCGATAATAATGCCGCCGTTCAGAGGTTTATAAAGTCATGACTGCATTTGGCATTCCTGCAAAATTAAAACGGCTATGCAGGATAACTTTAAGAGACACAAGGTTAGCAGTCAAAGTCGGAAAGGCCGCTCAGAGCCCTTGAATAGCAAACGAGGATTCAGACAAGGTGGCATTTTCTCGTGCGATCTTTTTAAAGTCCTGCTGGAAAAGTTCATACGGAGGAGAATATTTTTGGCCAACAGGTGCTACTAATGATTAAAAATTGCGGGTCCATAGATCTTTTTCTAAAAATAAAAATTAAAAAAAAGTTTGGTACATAAATCTACGGACAATAAAATCACACGTATAGTTCGATCGTAAAAATATTCATTTAACCCCCCTCGCTTAAAGTTCGTTTTGCAAATATGTCTTGCAAATCCGCATTGTAGTGTCTGGTGGAACATTTTTCGATTCCCCTAACAATCACATATTATTTTTTATAACTCCAAGTTGCTAGCGTTTTAACCTTACCTTTGACATAAAACTTTCATCAGCACTGCGAGCCAAACCCTTTTCCACCAGAATATGATTAATTGTACTGCCATCTTTTTTCAGGAGCACGTTTGAAATGCCATCGACAACGGAGAATATTTCAATTTCTATAATTCCTGAATCAGCATGGGATTGCATATATTCCATTGCTTCATCGGTCCATTTGCCACTGGATGATTTTAATGTTGACGGTTCTACCAAAGCCAAGCGACACTCAAATAAACGTGGTGGTATATCGGCTAAATATTTACACGTCTCCGACAAGTAGCGTAAATCTTTAAAATCAACCATTGATACATTACCATAATCGATGAAGAAAACCTGAAAATGATAAAATAAATTTAATTTGTTTATAAAAAAAATTATATTCCCTAATGATAATATTATTTCTTTACCTTAACCTCCACTTGGTGCCTATTTTGAATGATAACTTTTAACACCTTAGCCCGATGATATTTACCCTCAAACGGTGCGGCCAATATCATGCCCTTTGCCACAGCCCCGGGATGGGGAAATCGACAATTTTCATGTTTATTGGCCTCATCGAGCATATCTTGTATTTCATTGATTCTTTCAGTTTCCGATAAGGGTTGGAAATAGAATTTACTACATGTTTCAATCTATAAGATTGAACAAATATTAAATAGATTTTTAATTAAAATTCGTATTTGTGGTTATTGTTTTTCAATAGATTTTGTTAATAGTAGTAGCTTACATGAGTTATGAGACCGCTAATATTTCTTTGGAATACCGATGGCAATACTACCAGTTCAGCATTGACCAATAGACGTTTTGTTGGTCGCCAAGCACCATCATACATAGAACCCAAACCATGATCTTCAGCGTATTTAACACCGGCACGAGGTCTGGAAATTGAATTTGAAGAATTTTTTAAAAATACAGTCCTTTTGAAAATGATGTTATGTTCGTGCAGGCCGAACATGTTATACTCTCCAAGGAAATTAATACATCCCCACATTATATGGTGGAGAGTATAATAACATAAAATGAGACCAAACTTACTCCATAACATCAATGGCATTGGGTAAATTTAAAGAACGCATTTTTATCGCCTTATAAACTTCGGCACACACAGACCCTGGAGTTTTTATCTTATCACTGCTATCATCTGCATCGGGATCATCTTTAAATATAACCAATACACGTTCACAATTTGCCTGAAAACTAACTTCAATATTCTTCGGATTGATATCGGCCGGTTTGAATAATTCCTTAATCGATCGGGCATACAATTGGCCAATGTGGCGTGTATCGAAATTTGTAAAATATACCGTACGTTTTGGATTTTGTCCGCATAATATATGGAAGTCAGCACGTTCTTTATCGGGATGTTGTAGCTTGGTGTAGACAAAATAATTTGGATAAAATGCTCCGGCAATAATGATTTTCAATATAATGGATTTTTCCCAATCGCCATCGTTATGTTGCCGATTATTTCGTGGAATTTTTATGCCAAGCGGCTTTAAACGTTGTTTCAATTCCTCAACAAGTAAATGCATTTCACGTATCGAACGTAAGTTGATATATTTACGATTTGCCCAGGCATGTTGTCCCTCATCATCTTCAGGGTCGAATGTAAGCCATTCCTATGGAAGATGGATGAGAATGTATTTAACTAACGTGACTTAAAATAAAACGGGGAATATTTACTTTGTAAGCATATACTATTGCAATTAGATCCGAACCCGAACCATCTGCCCATTTTAGTTTTTGTATGTAGGCTTTAAGTTCACCAATATGTCTATATTGTCCAGACTTAAAAATTGAACGAACACTTAGGCCAGCAGCTGAAAAGGATTTTGGATTTGTAATTTATTTTCTTTATATCTATTTTAAAATGTAATTTTATGTTTGATAATATAAATAAGGATTTCCTCGCACCACATCGAAGGAGGATATTAACAGGAACCTCGAAAATTATTTTTTTTAAGTATTAACTGGTTGAATGCATTTATCTGAAATATTTAAATACATATTTGAAAATGTTGTCTTACCCATTATGATTGACTCCTCCAAACAATTAAACATATAGCCAAATACAATAAGTCGTGATAGTCGAACATCTAATGGTAAATGAGCCATAAGACGTCCGATAAACGTCAGATCACCATCATCCGCAACATATTCGCCATCCATATATTTATATAAAGCACCAATTTCCTTCAGAGTTACGATGGTATTTTTAATGTCATTTAAATTCGGAGGATTCATGGCCAAGCTGAGAACGGTTGGTGGTGAACCCATATTTAGTAATTTTGCTTTTAGACACACCGTCTCCAAGGGACAACGCAACATTTCCGGTACACTAAATTCTTCCAAATAGTTCTAAGTTAAAAAAGGGAAACGAAGAACATTTAATTAATTAAGAGGATAACCAGAATACTGACACATCTCCTAGTGGGTATGATGCAAAATCGAATTAACCCATTTCGCAAAATCGAGTCCTAAACAATTTTAAAAATCTAATTACAATGGAATTTCTTTCCCCATAACATAAGAGTTACGGATAGACAAATGTCCGATGTCCGAGAATAGATGGTAAACTCCATCAGCATCTGCTACTTGATTGTTCTTCAGCCGATTAATTGCCACTCTGACCTCATCTTGGCTAGGTGGTACACACTCTATACCATCATCTCTTATTGGTTCTGAGGTATCTTCTTCACCGTTACTATTTTCAACTCAGTAGCATTACAACACTCCTCCTGATTGTATCATGGATTTCATAAAGCTGGTCTTTTGTACCCAAGTGTTACTTTTGCTGCAGTTTGTAGGGAGTGGGAAATTCTTTGTCATTGTGCTTCTATATTATTATCGGGAAAAGGAGTGCTTTCGTCAAGCAGGTGGATAAGTTGATCGGTGTAGGCTTCGGCTATCTGTTGTGTTTGCAGCTCTTCGACGTCAAGATTCCGAGTTATATTAGATTGCACTTTTGACACTACATTAAGACAGATGCGAACCTTGACTGCCTCAAGGTAATGGTCCGAATCGATATTCACTTCTCGGATCGAACGTCTAGAACACTGGATGAATGCATTCCGTCTATCACAACATGATCAATTTGATTTCTGCTGCTAACTACCATGATTTTTGCTACCACGAAGTCAATCAACCTCATGCTGTTGTCTGATGTTTCTTTATGGATGCTGAATTTTCCGACGACGGGCCAAAAATAGTTTCCCGTCCGATTTTTGCATTAAATTCTCCTATCAGAATTTTAATGTCATGGCCAGGGCATCGGTCATATACTGTTTCTAGGCGCTCGTAAAATATGTCTTTGGTCTGCTCATCTTTGTCTTCGGTCGGAGCATGAGTGCAAATAAGACTTATGTAGAAGAACTGCGCTTTTATACGGATTATTGCAATTCGCTCATCTACTGGAGTGAGACGAGGTCTTTTATTCTCCTATTAACCATAAATCCGCAGCTATAATACAAGGCGTAATAATCAGATTTACTTACACCAATCCCTTTTTATCTTGTTAGGCAATTATATCGGCTTTGTACTTCTTGAGTACATTTGCCAAAGCGAAAACTGTGCATGCTCTGTACAACGTGCGCATATTCCAAGTGCAGATTCGCAGATCGTGGTCTTTTATACGTTTGCGGGGGTTGTCAATATTGACGTCTCAACCCATTTTCATCTAGTTCTTATGGCTGAACTCGCGGCACATATCAGCTCACTATTTCAATGGTTGATGGAAATAGTTACCTCAAGTGACACCACGGGAGTCCAGTGTCCACAATTGAGATGAAAGACCAAGATAAGACCATGCCATGTTAGAGCCAATCAGAGCCGTTGATTGGTATCTATTATCTGAGTCATCCCTTAAGGCCTTATATAATTATTTATTTGGGGAACCAATTCTGCCTCGGTTATCATAGATACTCGCCCAAAACCCGATGACTGTCCAAGACTATTTTTGTCTATTACTTTTTTATTCCTATCCTTCGCTAGTTCATTTATCAGAAAAACTGTGAATTCTTTCAATACATACATAATATCTCTCGATTACGTGATGACAATAGACCACAGTGATCTTCTGATTATTAATGACATACATTATAAACATAAATAAATATCCGATAATTAAAAAACAAGAATCTGTTTTAAAAAGTACTGTTTCTAGAATGAAGACAAATGTCGAACCTTGACAAATTTGAATTTAATTCGCATATGCAAGTTCGCATCAGGGCGAAATAAATCCAAGTTATCAACATACGACCTTTGTAAAGCCACATTGCCCAATATGCCTGATGAGTAGACCTCGGATTTTTGCATATTTTTTATGCTTTATCCGATTGGACTCAAATTTTGTATTTAGGCGTTTCATGCTTTAATTGATCGATATTTGGGGTCATGTCAAAAATATGCAAAAAATATGCAAAAAATATGCAAAATATATGCAAAAAATATGCAAAATATATGCAAAAAATATGCAAAATATGCAAAATATGCAAAAAATATGCAAAATATGCAAAATATGCAAAAAATATGCAAAATATGCAAAATATGCAAAAAATATGCACGGTATGCTAGGTCGATATGCGATAAATATATGCAAAAAATATACAAAATATGCATTGTCGATATGCAAAATATGCAAAAATATGCAAAATATGCAAAAATATGCAAAATATGCAAAAATATGCAAAATATGCAAAAATATGCAAAATATATGCAAAATATGCAAAATATATGCAAAATATGCAAAATATGAAAAAATATGCAAAATATGCAAAAATATGCAAAATATATGCAAAAATATGCAAAATATGCAAACATATGCAAAATATGCAAAATATGCAAAAATATGCAAAATATGCAAAATATATGCAAAATATGCAAAAATATGCAAAATATGCAAAATATGCAAAATATGCAAACATATGCAAAAATATGCAAAATATATGCAAAATATGCAAAATATATGCAAAATATGCAAAAATATGCAAAATATATGCAAAATATGCAAAATATGCAAAAATATGCAAAATATGCAAAAATATGCAAAATATGCAAAAATATGCAAAATATGCAAAATATATGCAAAATATGCAAAATATATGCACGGTATGCTAGGTCGCAATATTAAAGATAGAACTTTGAAATTTTGCACATATATTATTATTACTCCTAGGATGTTTGGTATTGGAAATGGGATATATCGGTCCACGTTTTAGTATATCGCCATATAACGGTTATATATGTTTGCATGTTTTATACATATTTTTAGCAAATTTTTCATAATGCCCCAAAAATCTAACAGTTGAACCATGAAACGCATACATACAGAATTAGATTTCTATAGGTTAAAAATAAAGAAAGCACACAAATTCGAAAACTACCCTGAATTTTTTTTTTTTTTTTTTTTTTTGATTAAAATGATTGCATATGTGAAATATGTTGCTCATATTTGCACATATTTTGCATATTTTTGCCTATATTTTTCATATTTTTTGCATATTTCTCGCATATCGACCTAGCATACCGTGCATATTTTTTTGTATATTTTGCATATGTTTGCATATTTTGCATATGTTTGCATATTTTGCATATTTTTGCATATATTTTGCATATTTTTGCATATTTTGCATATTTTTGCATATTTTGCATATTTTTTGCATATTTTGCATATTTTTGCATATTTTGCATATGTTTGCATATTTTGCATATTTTTGCATATTTTGCATATGTTTGCATATTTTGCATATGTTTGCATATTTTGCATATGTTTGCATATTTTGCATATATTTTGCATATTTTTGCATATTTTGCATATTTTGCATATTTTTTGCATATTTTGCATTTTTTGCATATATTTTGCATATTTTGCATATTTTTTGCATATTTTTTGCATATTTTGCATATATTTTGCATATTTTGCATATTTTTTGCATATTTTTTGCATATTTTGCATATTTTTTGCATATCTCGTGCATATGCAAAATATGCAAATATGCAAAAAATTAGAAAATATGAACCCTTCAAATAATTCTAAATCCTTTGAAACGAATTTGTGTCCAATCAGAATTTCGATATCTTCATTATTAAAAAATATGCAAATATGCAAAATCCGAGGTCTACTGATGAGCCCTTTAAACAACGGCGAAGCGTTGCATAATGGTGGGTACGTAGGTTCTTCTGCAAAACATAGATCATTAAGCTCGAATCGAAAGAATATAAATAACTCAATTAAAATTTAATTCAAATGATCACTGGCCTTACAAGGCAAAATTCAAATAACAAAATAAACCCCCATTTGTTATTGGGAAGTTCGATTATATCTTAAAAATTGTTTATACTATTAGTCCAAAAAAATATGAAGATATGGTCTCAGGAAATACGTAATATATAATGTTCAGCTATAAGTGTATTACCTGATAAAATGTTCGTGGAACCAAACGATATACCCTGCCATTCATTACACGTCCAGCCCGACCAGCACGCTGTCGACAATTGGCTTTAGAAGCCCAATTTAATTGTAAAGTGGTAAAATTTGTGGCACTATCGGTGACCAAAATCTTTGTTAGACAAAAATCAATAACTGCAACAAAATGAATAAAAATAAAATTTAAAGTTTATTATTAAATAAAACATCATCCCACCATATTTAACATCAGGAACTGTTATGGAACTTTCAGCAATATTAGTGGCCAAAATTACTTTACGATAACCCGGCGGTGGTCGGTGAAATACTCGAACTTGTTCCTCGGGTGAGACCACAGAATGTAAACGTATACAGCATAGTTTTACTTTATCTCTATAGAAATGAAATCAACATATTAATAATTTTTAATAAATAAATTGTATATAATTACCTTTCCGCCTGACATAGTAATTGAATTTTTCTTAACATTTGCTCAATTTCATTTATACCGGGTAGAAATATTAAAATTGATGTTTTACTTGTCCTATCATTGATATCCGGATTTAGAGATGCTTCTTGTTTTTCAATATTATCAATTATGACAATCAACTTTAAGGCCAAATGCAACATTTCCGTTGATATACCAGGTTCTGCCAAAGCCACTTGGACTTTCTAAAAGAAATTAAATTTATATACATAAAAATATAACCTAAATTGAATTTGTACTTACATGATTATTTAAATCATCCAAATCGTTCAAATAAAATTCCTTCACTTGGAACAGGCGTCGCAAATCGGCCCGCACTACAGGGGCTGGATTGTTTCGTATTTTAAAATAATTGGAGAACTAAATGAAAGTTATTTATTTTTTGATATATTCTCCGTTACACGGTAATGGTAAATTAATTTTAAAGACCCCCTACCTCCGATGTATCCATTGTGGCCGACATTAATATAACTTTAACATGTCGTGAATTTGTCAACAAAAGCCTTCTCAAAACAATCAGTAAAAAATCCATTTCTTGATCACGTTCGTGGACCTCATCGACAATAATATGTGTGTAGGGGTTGAGGGTCTTCTCTCCTATTAGCTTTTGTAATAGAACACCCGTTGTACAATATAGCAAGCGTGTATAATCGCTAACGTTGGAATGAAGACCAACCTTTAATAAAGAATTTTAAAAAATCGTGAAAATTTCAACAATATTGAATATTAGTATTATATAATAAACCTTATAGCCAACCACTGTTCCTTCCTGCCAGTTGCGTTCATTACACACCCGCTTGGCTATCGATATTGCTGCTATACGCCTTGGTTGAGTACACACAATTTTACAATATTGCCGACGTCGATAGGCATCGTCCAGTATGTATTGGGGTACCTTTAATTCATATAATATTATATTTTTGATAATTGTCGGAATTTTGAATGGAAATTATTTTTACATTCAATAGAAACTATTAATTGATATAGTGTAGAAGATCAATATGGTGTAAAAGACTATCCAGTGGATTGTTAATTTGAACCACCTTCGTACACGACTAGGAGTTATTTAACTTCCGAATGCACATGAGATTCATCTTGACCTATAGGCGTGGATTTTTAAATAATATTTTTTCACCAACCATCTGACCTATAGGCGTGGATTTTTAAATAATATTTTTTCACCAACCATCTGACCTATAGGCGTGGATTTTTAAATAATATTTTTTCACCAACCATCTGACCTATAGGCGTGGATTTTTAAATAATATTTTTTCACCAATCATCTGACCTATAGGCGTGGATTTTTAAATAATATTTTTTCACCAATCATCTGACCTATAGGCGTGGATTTTTAAATAATATTTTTTCACCAACCATCTGACCTATAGGCGTGGATTTTTAAATCCTATTTTTTCACCAACCATCTGACCTATAGGCGTGGATTTTTAAATCCTATTTTTTCACCAACCATCTGACCTATAGGCGTGGATTTTTAAATCCTATTTTTTCACCAACCATCTGACCTATAGGCGTGGATTTTTAAATAATATTTTTTCACCAACCATCTGACCTATAGGCGTGGATTTTTAAATCCTATTTTTTCACCAACCATCTGACCTATAGGCGTGGATTTTTAAATAATATTTTTTCACCAACCATCTGACCTATAGGCGTGGATTTTTAAATCCTATTTTTTCACCAACCATCTGACCTATAGGCGTGGATTTTTAAATAATATTTTTTCACCAACCATCTGACCTATAGGCGTGGATTTTTAAATCCTATTTTTTCACCAACCATCTGACCTATAGGCGTGGATTTTTAAATCCTATTTTTTCACCAACCATCTGACCTATAGGCGTGGATTTTTAAATCCTATTTTTTCACCAACCATCTGACCTATAGGCGTGGATTTTTAAATCCTATTTTTTCACCAACCATCTGACCTATAGGCGTGGATTTTTAAATCCTATTTTTTCACCAACCATCTGACCTATAGGCGTGGATTTTTAAATCCTATTTTTTCACCAACCATCTGACCTATAGGCGTGGATTTTTAAATCCTATTTTTTCACCAACCATCTGACCTATAGGCGTGGATTTTTAAATCCTATTTTTTCACCAACCATCTGACCTATAGGCGTGGATTTTTAAATCCTATTTTTTCACCAACCATCTGACCTATAGGCGTGGATTTTTAAATCCTATTTTTTCACCAACCATCTGACCTATAGGCGTGGATTTTTAAATCCTATTTTTTCACCAACCATCTGACCTATAGGCGTGGATTTTTAAATCCTATTTTTTCACCAACCATCTGACCTATAGGCGTGGATTTTTAAATCCTATTTTTTCACCAACCATCTGACCTATAGGCGTGGATTTTTAAATCCTATTTTTTCACCAACCATCTGACCTATAGGCGTGGATTTTTAAATCCTATTTTTTCACCAACCATCTGACCTATAGGCGTGGATTTTTAAATCCTATTTTTTCACCAACCATCTGACCTATAGGCGTGGATTTTTAAATCCTATTTTTTCACCAACCATCTGACCTATAGGCGTGGATTTTTAAATCCTATTTTCTCACCAACCATCTGTCCTATAGGCGTGGATTTTTAAATCCTATTTTTTCACCAACCATCTGTCCTATAGGCGTGGATTTTTAAATCCTATTTTTTCACCAACCATCTGACCTATAGGCGTGGATTTTTAAATCCTATTTTTTCACCAACCATCTGACCTATAGGCGTGGATTTTTAAATCCTATTTTTTCACCAACCATCTGACCTATAGGCGTGGATTTTTAAATCCTATTTTTTCACCAACCATCTGACCTATAGGCGTGGATTTTTAATTTTTAAATAATATTTTTTAAATAATAATTTTGGAGAGACCATCTGACCTATAGGCGTGGATTTTTAAATAATATTTTTGGAGAGACCATCTGACCTATGGGCGCGGATTTTTAAATAATATTTTTGGAGAGACCATCTGACCTATGGGCGTGGATTTTTAAACACTATTTTTGGAGAGACCATCTGACCTATGGGCGTGGATTTTTAAACACTATTTTTGGAGAGACCATTTGACCTATAGGCATAACCGCCTCCAAAAGGTTCGAATCCTCTTTTAAAATGTTCAGAATCATAAACGAATTATCTAACCTGATTTTTTTTAATGTTCATGTCCATTTTGATGTATATTAATAATAATTTGCATATATGAATTTCGAAATAATCAGATTTTCCACACGCAAACTTTCTATGTGTAACATCGAACAAAAAAGAAAACATTTCTAAATTCTTATTATCGATAACGCGGCCATCGATAGATTATCATCTCAAATGTAAACAATAATAAACTCAGAATTTGAAAATAAACAAAAAAAAAAATATCCCGCAATGGAAGCGGCACTTTACAAAGATTGTCACGATCTAATAGAAGAATTCATTAACAATGATTCCGTCGAATTTTCCAGCTTTTGTTCCGTGTGGAAAAAACAAATGTTCCAACATATCTATGCTGTGCAAACATCTGTATTGGAAGTTATACAAACAACGAAGACCATCTTTCACATGGCCTAAATCCTATTTTTTCACCAAGCATCTGACCTATAGGCGTGGATTTTTAAATAATATTTTTTCACCAACCATCTGACCTATAGGCGTGGATTTTTAAATCCTATTTTTTCACCAACCATCTGACCTATAGGCGTGGATTTTTAAATCCTATTTTTTCACCAACCATCTGACCTATAGGCGTGGATTTTTAAATCCTATTTTTTCACCAACCATCTGACCTATAGGCGTGGATTTTTAAATCCTATTTTTTAACCAACCATCTGACCTATAGGCGTGGATTTTTAAATCCTATTTTTTCACCAACCATCTGACCTATAGGCGTGGATTTTTAAATCCTATTTTTTCACCAACCATCTGACCTATAGGCGTGGATTTTTAAATCCTATTTTTTCACCAACCATCTGACCTATAGGCGTGGATTTTTAAATCCTATTTTTTCACCAACCATCTGACCTATAGGCGTGGATTTTTAAATCCTATTTTTTCACCAACCATCTCTGATTTTTAAATCCTATTTTTTCACCAACCATCTGACCTATAGGCGTGGATTTTTAAATCCTATTTTTTCACCAACCATCTGACCTATAGGCGTGGATTTTTAAATCCTATTTTTTCACCAACCATCTGACCTATAGGCGTGGATTTTTAAATCCTATTTTTTAAATCCTATTTTTTCACCAACCATCTGACCTATAGGCGTGGATTTTTAAATCCTATTTTTTCACCAACCATCTGACCTATAGGCGTGGATTTTTAAATCCTATTTTTTCACCAACCATCTGACCTATAGGCGTGGATTTTTAAATCCTATTTTTTCACCAACCATCTGACCTATAGGCGTGGATTTTTAAATCCTATTTTTTCACCAACCATCTGACCTATAGGCGTGGATTTTTAAATCCTATTTTTTCACCAACCATCTGACCTATAGGCGTGGATTTTTAATTTTTAAATAATATTTTTTAAATAATAATTTTGGAGAGACCATCTGACCTATAGGCGTGGATTTTTAAATAATATTTTTGGAGAGACCATCTGACCTATGGGCGCGGATTTTTAAATAATATTTTTGGAGAGACCATCTGACCTATGGGCGTGGATTTTTAAACACTATTTTTGGAGAGACCATCTGACCTATGGGCGTGGATTTTTAAACACTATTTTTGGAGAGACCATTTGACCTATAGGCATAACCGCCTCCAAAAGGTTCGAATCCTCTTTTAAAATGTTCAGAATCATAAACGAATTATCTAACCTGATTTTTTTTAATGTTCATGTCCATTTTGATGTATATTAATAATAATTTGCATATATGAATTTCGAAATAATCAGATTTTCCACACGCAAACTTTCTATGTGTAACATCGAACAAAAAAGAAAACATTTCTAAATTCTTATTATCGATAACGCGGCCATCGATAGATTATCATCTCAAATGTAAACAATAATAAACTCAGAATTTGAAAATAAACAAAAAAAAAATATCCCGCAATGGAAGCGGCACTTTACAAAGTTGTCACGATCTAATAGAAGAATTCATTAACAATGATTCCGTCGAATTTTCCAGCTTTTGTTCCGTGTGGAAAAAACAAATGTTTATCTATGCTGTGCAAACATCTGTATTGGAAGTTATACAAACAACGAAGACCATCTTTCACATGGCCTAAATCCTATTTTTTCACCAAGCATCTGACCTATAGGCGTGGATTTTTAAATAATATTTTTTCACCAACCATCTGACCTATAGGCGTGGATTTTTAAATCCTATTTTTTCACCAACCATCTGACCTATAGGCGTGGATTTTTAAATCCTATTTTTTCACCAACCATCTGACCTATAGGCGTGGATTTTTAAATCCTATTTTTTCACCAACCATCTGACCTATAGGCGTGGATTTTTAAATCCTATTTTTTCACCAACCATCTGACCTATAGGCGTGGATTTTTAAATCCTATTTTTTCACCAACCATCTGACCTATAGGCGTGGATTTTTAAATCCTATTTTTTCACCAACCATCTGACCTATAGGCGTGGATTTTTAAATCCTATTTTTTCACCAACCATCTGACCTATAGGCGTGGATTTTTAAATCCTATTTTTTTGACCTATAGGCGTGGATTTTTAACGATCCTATTTTTTCACCAACCATCTGACCTATAGGCGTGGATTTTTAAATCCTATTTTTTCACCAACCATCTGACCTATAGGCGTGGATTTTTAAATCCTATTTTTTCACCAACCATCTGACCTATAGGCGTGGATTTTTAATTTTTAAATAATATTTTTTAAATAATAATTTTGGAGAGAC